TGAATAAAATGTCGCCAAAAATATCTTTTTAAGTTAGCCTAATTAGAAAATATTCTAATGATTATAATATTAATATGATAATGCTGGCTGAAGTTTAAAGGCTGAAAGAAAGAACTCGGTACATGTGAAATACTGCAAAAGATATGGTGGCGCGTTTTTTCAATCTGCAGCGTTAAAATATATCGGAAGCAGTAACCCGGAAGTCTTGAAAGAGCAATTTTACCACTAGCGCCAACACCCTTAGCTTTACACAATCACCCATCCATTCTTTCAATTTAAACTTCAACGAAACAGACAACAAATGTATTCGGAGTTACGATGCAACCCAAAAATATGAAACAGTGCTATTTTACACAAATATAACACTCAAAACAAGACTAACCTTATACTTTTATTTATGTTGTGATATTAATTTTGTTAAATGTGTTTCAGGCTCACGACCTGTTAGAATTTATAAATTACAAGAATTTCTTATGAATGATAAAATTACGTGTAAATTTAAACTCAAATCAAATAAAACTTCTTAGAATATCACATATCGCCTCTTAAGCATAACGTAAGCGGAGGGATACATCGGAAGTTCTCTTGCGGTTTTAGGAAGCTTGTTTACATTCAGTCCAACCATCTCATTATGCAGTTTGTAATGAAGAAAATAAAACTGATTCTATGGAGGGAGATGTTATAATTGAAGGGAATCACCACTGGCAGAACATGTTGAAGGCCAAGTTCTTGAATGTCACTGGCGGGTCGGATAAGAAAAGGCTGAACATATTTAAATAATGCTAGTAAAAGAAATGAAATAGTTAGCTGAAATATCATCTTTAAATATCCCATATATTACGCTTTGAGTGGTCACCAATTTTTTTTTTTTTTAAGACGAAAATAATAAACAAAATTCTATGCACTTTCCTTGTTATTTTAGATGATTTTTAAATTCCCTGTATTTTGCAGATTTCCCTGTGGAGTGGTAACCCTGATCATGTTTAACCCTTTTCAACAAGGAATGCACGGAACTGAAATTAAGAGATATTGCACAAAGATTTCAGGATTAAGACTTACTTGACACTTTCATATTCTCTTAAACTGCTCTTCAGTAACATTATCTTCTCTAGAATTAAGAAACGATTTTGGAATATCATTAGCATTGTATCTATTTACAGTATTTCTATGAAGAACTATCACACTAGCTAAAAAAAACTGTATGCCCCTGCCCTTTCTAAAGCGGATACCTTGGCGCCGTTTTGGCCACGCCCACAAAGCAATCCGGAACACCTGCAGCCATCTCTCTATGAGTTCTGCATGATTCATTTTTGTTATTCGAAACTAAACAACACGTAGGCGAGTCTTGGCTGCTTAATAAATGGCTTTCTTAGGACCTAAACTGTTTCGGCAATATAGTCTCCAATAAGGAACAGCTGGACATACTGAAAACAAATAAGGCTATAGTGAATGAACTAGATTGTGAAACCTGAAATATTATCCTGAAAAATTCCCCTTTGAGTTGTCACCATTTTTTTTAAAAGACGAAAATAAGAAAAATTTTCCTGTATTTTCTGTATGTTTCTAAAGAAAACCCCCAAATTCCCTGCATGTTAAAGGCTATTTGAGGTAATTTTTGAATTCCCTATTGAGTGGCAACTCTGAAATGTAGAGATTTTGCACAGTTATCATGAATCATGTTTCAAGATTAGACAAGTGACTCACTTGATACTTTCGTATCCTTTCCAATTGATCTTCAGTAGCTTCTTTAGAATCAAGAGTCGATTTTGGAATATCACTAGCATTGTATCTATTTACAGTATTTCTATGATGAAGTAAAGAGTTATCATTCGAAGAGCTATCACTGTTGATAAAAAATTCTGGATGCCCCTCCTCTTTTTGAGGCGGATACCTTGGCGCGGTTTTGGCCATGCCCACAAAGCAATCTGGCACATCCACAGCCATCTCTCTATGAGTCCTGGATGATTCATTTTTATTATTATTATTATTATTATTAGAAACTACACAATTCGAGTCTAATAAATGGCTTTCATTAGGCCTAAACTGTTTTGGCAATAGAGTCTCGACCGATACACACTCCTGAGAAAAACGGGTGGCTATTCCGTTTTGGGACTCGACCAAGAGCCTCTCTCTCGGGGGAGTCTCGGGTGAAGAGGGTGTCTCGTCGTCCACAATCTCTTGCTTCAATTCCAGCTCCTGGTCGTTTTGATCACGGCGTCCATCTTTCTTGAGAGTGGCGTTGTGAATTTCAGGCACAGTGGTGACGTAGATAGGATTGTTCTCGATCAGTTCCGTTGCTGCTGTGCTGCATTCGTTCAGTTCCTGAGACAGTTTCGTCATGTCGACCGGTTTGATTTTCTTCAAGGCGGATAACTTCTCCAGGCGTTCCCTCGCCTGCTGCTCCACAGCGATCACGAATGCGTCTTGGACGTTGCTGTTTCGGGCCAGATCCAGAGCTGCAAAAAAAATTAATATTATTTCTGACTCTCGATATTTTTTGTTTACTAAGAGAGTGAAAATTTTATCTGCGAGATTTACAGGGTGCGTTTCAACAAAAAATAAGTACATTTTAAAAATATTTCTATCGTTAAAAGTTCTTAATATATGAACATAAATTCAATAAAATTCAAAAACATTTTTGCAAACTTCACATAATCATGATAAAATAACTAGTTTCTAATAAATATTGCAGAGAAAATTATGAAAATGATATATTTTTTGTAATTTAGAACGACAATTGACACGACAAAGAAAAAATCTCTTTTCAAAAGATAGAACATTGAGCCTTTTTTACTAACCCCAAATAAAAAAAATGCACCTTTAAAAAATGTAAATCAAAAATAAGCACCTTTAGGCAATTTTTAAAAATGCTATACACCCTGCAGCAACAACGGCATAAGTAAGTTTTAACAAGTATCAGCTATAACCACACAAGTAAGCATTAGTAAGAATTAGCAGTAACCACTTAAATATTAACAAGTATCAGCAATAACCCTACAAATAATATCAGCAATAACCACACAAATAATATCAGCAGTAACCACATAAGTTATTTAATAACACATTTATAATAACCCCAATATAAAATCACTTTAAATGTCAAATAATTTTAAAAAGTGAAATGATTATCAGCGATGTTAACCAAATGCCCAATATTTATTTTCTATGCAAAACAATAGATTAATTCTAAATTATGCTTAGTGGATCAAAACATAAATTGTCGGCGATATGAGACCAAATGCTAAATATTACATATACGAGACCAAATCCCTATTCGTACAGAACTAATTCTAAATTATGTTCAGTGGATCGGAACATAAAAAGTCGGCGATACGAGACCAAATCCCCATTCGTACAGAACTAATTTTAAATTAGTTTAGTGGATCGAAACATAAAAAGTTGGCGATACGAGACCAAATCCCCATTCGTACAGAACTTATTCTGATTTATGTTTAGTGGATCAAAACATAAATTGTCGGCGATATGAGACCAAATCCTCAGTATTACACATGCATTTTTTTCGTACAGGACAAATTCTAATTTACTAGTGAGCTGCACCTCCTGCTCGCTAACGCTCGCCAACCCCTGAAAATTGCTACGCAATCTTATATGGTTTGCTTCGCTCGCTACTAACTTAGGTACATTGCAAATGCACAAAATTCTAAGAATTCAAAACAATCATTCAAATCCATATAACAAATTTTTTTTTAAAAAAAAATTACATCTTTTTAGTAAATACTAAGTCATTAAAATAAATTTGAATTCAAATAAATGACATGTAATTCGTTAAACCTATTAGAAATGTGCTATAATATAATTCGTGATATAAATCAAAAATCGTCAAATAAATTCGTGAAAAAAAGCGCTTTCGACAAAATACTAAAGTAGAGATCTATCGACAAAGACTACTCACTTCTGCCTAGCTAATAGTATGAGATTGCCGCAGCTGATGCTCTCTGGTTATTTCCGTTTCCGTTCTTAGAAGCGCTATATGCTGAGCCACCTCAGCTAGATTTGGCTTGTGACATTTTTAGCGGCAATCATTGGTCGATTCGCCGTGTAAGAGAAATAGTAACGTAAACAAAACAAAGCAAACGTTGCCACCGGCGGAAAAAAAATACAGCCAAAATTTCGGAGCCACGTAAGAGAATTATATATATTGGATGTTTAGTGGATCGAAACATAAATTTTCGGCGATATAAGACCGAATCCCCAAAATTATATTTCTTTTTTTTTTCTTCTTGTTCGAGCAGAACTAATTCTAAATTACGTTTAGTGGATCGAAAAAATTCTAAATTATGTTTAGAGGGTCGAATTTGTTCTGAAGCCACGAGAACATTTTATCGGGTCGGTGAAAGCTTCCATAGCAGTAACGAACAGCTTTTATTTATTAAATACATAGAAATAATAGACAAAACTAAAGAAGCGTAGATAATTTAATAAGAACGCCTCGTCTTTATCCAATTTAAATACTTTGCTTGAAATAAAAGAAGCACACACTCCTCTTAAAAGAACGCGGAAAGAAATAACGAGATTTACACTTTTAAAAGTCTTATAATCCATACAGAAATGTCAAAGAAATAAAACCGTTTATGAAAGGAAAAATGTGTAAAATGGAGAGTGTCATACAAAATAGTTCTAAAAATTGAACCCATTTTTCCTTTGAGTGAAAATTGTCTCTTTCACGTCATTCATTTGTGTGATTAAAATTGAACTAAAATTCATAATGAATACATCGATTACAAATAGCTATAACTATTTAAAATGAGAAGATTAATATAGACGGAACATTTCTTTACGTAAGGAATCTTGAGCGAGTTCAATATTGTGAAAATGGCGAGCGCATCATTTTGGTCAGCGGCGTTTATTTAATTCTAGAACCGTCGTTGAACAGTCAACGTCCTTGTCATTTTGAGCCCAATCCAGATGGAACTCCTGGAAGAAATTTACCTTTTTGAAGACACGCATTTACGTTACACGGAGAGGAAAACCACGTAGGGGACTCACACCAGCACTGAGGTCGGTGCAAGCGGGATGTGGGTTCACCTCTAACAGAAGGCAAACACTCAATCAAAACAGTTTAAGAACTCAAAGCGACTGGTGAGTGCACAAATTCTTCCGTGTGACCAAGGGAAGTCTGACTCATCGACATATTATTAAATAGTTTGTAATCGATCTATTCATTTTGAATTACCCTGATCGTAACATTTTAAGACAAATTGAAGAAAATCCGTTTCAGAATACTTTTTGCAAATTATCGTTATATTTGGGGGAATAAAACGATTTTTTTAAACAATATTCTTAAACATTCAATCTTTTTAAAATGTCACGTAACATTAATTAATTTCTCCAATTATAAAAAAAAAGAATATATATAAAACTTTGAGCATTATAATTTCTACATATTTTATACAGGATCCCCCAAGTCAATATTTTTCATGGTTTTCCATTGATGGACCAACATAATCTTGATGATAACCATTAATAATTCCATTATGAACCATTATAGTTTTCAATGGTAACTAAACCATCAACCCAAAGTAGGAATTCGGACTGATTTATGATAGAGTTAACAGAAGAATAGCAACCTTTTTTGCTGGATTCCCATTAAACCGTCATGGAAACGTATAGTTGGAACCGTCATGGACTATCACGAACCATCATGGATTGTTGGTCCATGAGAATCAAACTTCTCTGGATGGTTAACATCATAGTCTTAAAGTAGCATTTTCCATCATGGAATGATGGAAGGATGTTGGCATATCAAAAACCATGAACGCATAATGGAAAATGTTGGATGATGGTGATTATCAAATGATGTTGGACCATCGTAAATAGCATTGAAACCAAAATAAACCATCAAAAAAATTTTGACTTGGGTCGTGATTTGCCCTACAACCCGGCATATAATTAAAATAATGCAAATTTGTTTTTAGTATAAAATCTTCATATTTAAAGAAGTTAAAAACTACTTAAATAATTCCTTATAAAAAATTCATGCGCTCAAATACTAAAATTTTTTAAAATTTGCGTTCTGGGCAGTAATTAACTAAAAAAAAATCTGTTGCCTAAAAATTTCAAGATATTTTTTTGTCAACTATTCATAAAAAATACTAAAAAAACGCCTCTCCGATCCGAACTAACACAAAAACGAAGTTGTTTTTCTTTTTTTATTCTCTCAGCTTGGTTGCTTAGCAATGGAGTGTTTCTCTGTTGTCGATTACGCTGCTGGTTATATTAACTTTCTAATCCTGTTATGGCGATAATCTTTGGCCTCTTTTTGAAACGACGCCAAATATGTAAAACTTCCTAACAACCTAAAATTTTATAACAAATTTTTTCAAAATTTTGAGGGTCAGGAATCCAAATACGTAAATAAAAATGTTTATTCAGAGTAAGTACCTTTTTGTGTCTGATTTCTCAACTTAATTAATAGTTAGCACTAACTACTAATTATCATATTTGAAGTCATCACCAGAAACCCTTGAGATTGACGGCATTAACCTGTTTCATCTACTCTTTCCTTTAAGTGCAATAAAAACAAATATTTGAAGAAAAAAAAATATTATTAAAAGATCCGAGTAAAAATTAAAAACAAAATATTTACTTTTAGAGTATTTTTACAAGGTCTACATTTGATTTTTTAAAACATTTATTTCACTTATAAAAAATTGAATGAGAATAATAAATAGTATTGAATTTTAAACTATTTTCGGAGAAGCTTTTATAGGGTAAAATTTTTCTTTTTATTCCGAAACGTCGGCAGCCTTTTGTTTCTTTTTAAAATAAAGTTTATTCTATATTTGTTTGGATTTAGATTCATTTAAAAATACATAAGTTCCTGCTTTTGTAAAATATATTATAATCTTTTTTTTTTTTTAAAGAAAATTACGGTTACATTCATGTAAGCATTTTTTAATAGAAATTGCATTCTCAGCAAGAAATATTTTAATTTCTTTAATTTAATTCTTTAAGTTCTTAAATTAAAATTTAACAAAAGTAAGATTTTAATTCTGATAAAAAAAAGAGAATTTTAATTCTTAAATTAAAATGTCTATGTGTATGAATTTTTTAGGACAAATATCGAATTTTCAATGTACCAAAAAATAAAAATTATAGAATTTCAGAATATTTTTTCCTCTAGACCAGGGATGGCGCACCAATGGCACGCGACACAATATTTTGGGCACGCCATCGATCACAATTGTTATTGCACTATGAATTGTTATTACACAAATGTTATTACACTATGAAGCATATGTAAAAATTAAATTAAAATTCACAAAAAACAAACAAAATAATAAACAATTATTAATAAAAAAATTAACAATTTGTGCTAAAAAAAAACAATTAATGACCATCAAAACAAGCTAACAATAAATAACTAGCAAAAAAATCAGGCGTCCTGCTTAAATCAATATCTTACAACCTAATATAAGTTATTTATCATTTAATC